TTGAAATTACTCACTTTTACGTGTACTTCAGATAATACGTTAATACAATAATATGACTAGTGACGTTATATCAAACCTAGGATTCATAACTCAGAATAGAGAACCATAGTATATACTAGATAATATTTTATTCAACACAATTACAAGCAATCACTCTCACTGAGTTCGAAGTCAAAATCAATGAAGGGGAAATGGAATCATATATTTAGTAGTCCGTGTCTCATATCAATAAGTCGTGTTAGCATCAATCTGAAAAAGTGACATCAGACACATAGAACTTATGAGATGTTGCTAGAACTGTGGTCCAGGAAATGCCTTTCGTCTCATTTAAGAATCGTCAGATGAAATTGCCTGCATCCTAAAGTTTTAATCCAATGCCTTTCGTTCCGAAAGCCTTGCGCATTATCTGCATAGCCAACTAAAACTGGTCAAATTCAGTCAATTATAATTAAAAGGATGATCCAAAATGTTAAAGATTAAGTTGAGGTTCATGCAAGGCCAATAACTCTTCATTTGTTTCAGGGCTAAGAGCTTCATTTGAAAAATCTCTTGTTTCATTGTCCTTCGGTACTGCCACAATCTCATGTACATTTAACAAACCATCAACTTGCTATGAGCTGGACATTTTGTTTCGTACACAACTGGGTTTGAACCCACAACAGTGCATGTTTTTGAAATGACCATTACCGAACCACTCTCGGCATAAATAATTAATTATTTTCTGGAATATCTGGAAAGTTCACCCAAGACTGCTCCAAGCAATTGCTGTTGAAAAGCTGATATTTGCCGCTGTAATAGTAATTGCGACTGTTCACAAGAGAGTTCCGATTTTTTTTCTTTTCACTGTCATTAACTCTAAAAACTTCGGGAAATTATTATGAATTATTTCTCGAAATCCACGTCGCCAATTATTATGACTTGTCCTGTTAATCATCACGTGATAAGATCGTCAATCAGAATACGACTTACATAACCTTGACCAATCACGCGTTAAACTAGTATGGGAAGCTTAGAGTGGGTGTAGTAATCAACAGAATAACGATTTTTACAAGTCTTGACCCACTTGAAAGCCTGTCGGGGCAACATGAGGAAAATGTTCCCAGCACATAATGTCATTGAAAACGTAAAATAAGTTCGGTGATCATTTCCAGTATATCTTAAATGACTAGTTAGGAAATAAAGTCACTCACGTGTGTGATATCAGACGTCATTTTGTTTCAATAAATGTACCTAACCCACCAAGGCTCAAGAATATTATAAATCAAATAGATGACTTGAAAAAGACAGCATTCATGACTCAAACTTGAAACTGTCATGCAGTGTCAGTGAACCACTTGTTCCATGAGATGTGAATTTAAGTGGTATTACATTCCTTCTGGAAGTTGAGGAGTGAGAACGATTTAGACGACAGTTGAAGTTATCAGTGAGTAGCACCTGAGAATCCCCTTCAGTACCTATAGAATTATAGTGATTGTCGGCCCTTCCTTCAACAGCCCTCATCAGAGAGGGCTGTTGTAGAATAATTGGTTATTAACCACATGACTTGTTACGATTTATGGCTGCTGACAAATATCACACGACAAAGACACCAATTGAAATCTGTTCATATCTAACAACCTTGAGCCAACATCTGTGCTCTTACTAGTTCACGATTTTCTAACTCCTGGCTGTTCTGCTTGTGGATATAAAAATCAGTAATCAGCCTTCAGCATATAAATATCATGTCTCAGGCATACGTAACTTATATACGAACATACCGGACTATGTTACAACGTACAATCAGAAGAATTATACATGAATAAGCCAAAAATGGTTGTGAGTAGGAGAGACTATGAATAATAAACTAGCAAGAGGCTAAGAATAGTTAATAATATAACAGTAGTTAATGAATTAATTGAAATCTAACGGTAAAAGGGATATACATATGAAATACGTAATAATATATATATATATATATATAATATTATATAGGATATTGAATAACACTACGAGCACAATAATAATATACTTCTGATATGGCAGGCACATGCCAGTTTTGCTGGCATGAACAATAATTTACATGGGATTAGATATAAGATGTTAGCCAAGAGGAATTCTTCAGTAGATAAAATCAGTGAAAATATATGATAGAATGTTCATTTAGATACATCAACAAGTTAATAAATAACTTTGCGCGTTTACGGTTGCTATAGCTCTTCTCCAGTTACTGCCGGTCTTAAGCTCGAGTAAAGGAGTAGAGTTGAGCATAAGGTCGGCAACCCCATCACGTAGAAAAAATCCTGCTAAAAAGCGCCAACTACGTTAAACAAATTAAACCATTTAAACTCTGCCTTGGGAGTTGAAAGAAGAACTATGACGCCTCAGGATAACAGCCGAGATTCTTCGGAAGTCACGAGGCCGATGCCGCTTCTAACAAACAATGCAGCACTTCTTATAGGTACATAGAACATCCAAACAATGAGAGAAACGGGAAAGACCAGTCAGATAGCAGAGGATCTGAGGAAATACGGTTTGGCAGTACTCAAAATCAGAGAAACCCTTTGGACCCGAGCTGGACAACAAAGGTTAGAAACGGGAGAGATTCTGCTATACTTCTGTTCCGAAGCAGAAAATGCTCCATACACTCAGGGAGTTTCTTTGATGCTGTCTAAAGAAGCACGAAATGCACTTATATGATGGGAATCTTACGGATCCAGAATTATCAAAGCATCATTCAAAACAAAGAAGAAGGGAATCACAATGAATATTATCCAATGTTATGCACCCACCAATGATAGCAACAACGACGTTAAAGATCAATTCTACGGGCGACTGCAATCAATCATAGAGAAGTGCTCAAGAAAGGACATCACTATTCTGATGGGAGATCTAAACGCCAAAGTCGGAATAGACAACACCGGATATGAAGATATCATGAGACGACATGGATTGACTGGAAGAGAGAAACGAAAATAGGGAATGATTTGCAAATCTGTGTGCATTCAACAAATTGGTCATAGGTGGCACAATATTTCCACACAAACGTATACACAAAGCTACATGGATCTCACCGGACCACACCACAGAGAATCAGATAGATCATATTTGCATCAATAAAAAATTCCGAAGGACAATGGAAGATGTGAGAGCCAGGAGAGGAGCTGACAGAGCTTCACATCATCACTTGGTTGTGGCCAAGATGAAAGTGAAGCTAAAGAAATATTGAACAACTGGGGGGCAGCATTATAAAGGTTCAATACAACCTTCCTTTGACATATTGACGATCTCAACGAATTCAAGGTAGTTCCAAGCCTTACAGGGTCTACTGAAAGAAGAATCTACCATGGACGAAAAATAGAAAGGGATCAAAGAAGCATTAAATTCAACGTATCAGGATGTTCTGGGCCATCATCATAAAGAATGGTGCTCTGTATCGACCCTAGACAAGATTCAAGAAAGGAAGAACAAGAAGATAGCAATTAACAACTGCCGACCAAGAACAGAGAAAGTTAACGCAAAGTCCGAATACACAGGAGCAAACAAGCAAGTGATGAAGAGCATTAAAGCAGACAGGGAGAAATACGATGGAGAACCAGCAATGACGGCGGAAAAAGCTGCAAGAGAAGGAAATATGAAATAACGATATGATGTAACGAAGAAACTAGCCGGTAGATGTAATAGACAAGAGAGACCAGACAAGGACAAAGAAGGAAAGACAGCCATTGAGATTCAAGAACAGAGGAACAAGTGGGTAAAATACTTCGAGGAACTCAAGAATACACCAGCTCTATTGAATACGCCACACATCAAAGCAGCACGGAGAAACCTTCCCATAGATGTCGCTCGAACAGTGATCGAAGAAATCAAGATGACCATCAGACAAATCAACAGTGGGAAAGGAGTAGGATCTGACAATATACCAGCTGAATCATTGAAGCCAAATATACTACTATTCAGGAAGAAATAGGAGGAAGAACAAGCGCCGACGGGCTGGAAACAAAGACGCCCCATCAAGGTACCAAAGAAAGGAGACTTGAGCCAATGTGAGTACTACAGGCGCATCACACTACTCTCAGTACAAGGAAACGTTTTCAACAAAGTGTTGCTGAATTGGATGAAGGACCAGTAGACGTCTAGCTTCTAGATCAGCAGACTAGATTCCATAAGGATCAGTCTTGCACAGACCAAATTGCGACACTATGGACCATTGTCGAACAGACAATTGAATGAAATTGATCACTATACGTCAATTTCGTTGATTATGAGAAGGCGTTTGACAGTGTGTATATGAGAACATTATGAAAACTTTTTCGACACTGTGGAGTTCCTGATAAGATTGTCAACACAATCCGGAATTCATACCACGAGTGCACTGCGAAGTCGCGCACGGACGACAGTTGGCAAATGAATTCCAAGTAAGGACTTGGGTCAGAAAAAAATGACGTCATATACCATGATAGGACCGATCCTATTTGTCCTGTCATTAAACTCAAATGGTTTGGTATCAAGTCACCATTAACCGGTCGGCCCACTCCGTATAGAAAAAACGATTTTCTAAGATCGGGGTGAGCTTCATTTTTTCTCGAGCTACGGAATGTACTAGTGGAGTCCCTCACAGTTCAGCACTAGGACTTCCTCATTTCCTAATTTGTATAAATGACCTTCAGCAAGTATAGCCCGATTTTTTACTTTTCGCTGAGGATGTGAAACTTTTGAGAGATATTTTCTACTGAGATGATCAGTCGGCACTTCAGGATGATCCGACTCGACTTCAAGGTTGAGAGGACAAAAACGGACTCCCCTTTGACAGGTCAAAGTGTATTTATAGTGAAAATTCAGATTGTTGTAATTACCATACTTGTAGCTACATTACTTTTAGCGAAACACGTTTTGGAAAGTAACAAAATTTCAAGAGCACCTATTATTTTGCTCAGAACGATCACATAACTCTTGGTGTTTAAGTCTATAGTTTTAGTCAAGGTTTTAAAACTGTAGGTCGAGTGGTGCTCGTTGGGGCTAGGATGGAAAATATCAGCGATGATGAACTGCGATCAGCTTTGTCTAGATATTTAGATGTTGTTCCACCAGTGACAGGTAAGCCTTTGGCTTACATTAGTGTGAAAATTAGAATCAACTCGAGCAACTTTGATCGCTAAGCTGAAAAAGTGCATATCAAATGGTTCTGAGAGTTTATTAAAGGATACTCCACAAAACGTCGTAGATAATCTTGGCAACGTAACAGAAGATAGGTAACTGAGTGCGAAAGCTTAATTTTCTTCTGTAGACCAATACAGACTTTAATTTCCGACAATAATCATGAATCACCGAAATATGAGACGACTGAGGTACTACAGAGGTAAGTGGTTTTCATTAATTTACGGAGTAAATATTCATATTTTTAAAATATCTGGTCACAATCAAAAAATGTCTGTGTCCAATCTGGTGGTCAGACTGTTTCTTTAGGAGAATGGTAGTGTCCGAAATTCGATGAATTCCAGATCTTTATCTATGCCAAGGTGACTTCCCTTGGTTTTACTACTTAACTGTCGACTGATATCCAAGTAAATCACCTCCAAGTGTCAATGGATCACTATGTAGGCCCTCTCAGTTATTGTTTGAAGTTGGCTAAATACTTGAGAAGGTTGAGACAGAAGGGTTTGTTCGGGATGCCTGTAGTGTTAGCTCGTCAACGTCATGCATCAATGAAAAGACCAATAAAGCTCACTTTAAGTATAATCAAGTCTGATTGTTGGGACGGGACTTAGTCGCCTGCATTTTAACTAGCCGAACCTATTATAAATCGAGACCACTGTCTTTTTGTCCACTCACTGTTGTCTGATAAAATGACTTCCCTTGTGTCGCACCTAACTTGGTAAAGCATCGGAGAATACCCCTATACGGAAGGTTTTATAGCGTCATGTTGAGTGTAAGGTCACCAAAATGTCTCAATACTAGTCAGTCGGTAAGTAAATCCGTGCTCCTACCCGTTAACCATAGTTGTATTGAAACTAATGATCCCCGAACTTCTTGTATCATCAAATATTTCATAACATGTCAGTTATGAGCCACTTGAGTGCTGTTATTCCTCATAATCAGTGTGGCTTAATTAACACATGGTTTATCACTTAACGTACCCTGCTTCACTACGTAATAAATTCAAAGCCTGGCTTATCTGCTTCAAGTTTGGCGAGCGTGTCAGTCAGTCAGCTACAACGTAGGACCAGGCACATATGTGCATCGGTCCAGGTTGCCATACCGCATCAGCACACAAGATGAACACCGGATTCATAGCAGTGGTTAGGTCAAAGGTGGTAATATATAAGAGAAAGATTGCATATAAAGATATAGTACAAGAAGAAAGAATTGGTTCGTAGAAAGAAAGATTTGAAGTGATTTTAATCCCTTAGTTTAAGGGAAGACAGGGAGTGTATACACCGACGCCATTGTGATCGATTCTGAGCCATGCCACCCAGAGTCTTCAACCATTGGTTACGATAGTCACGCGGACCCCAACCAAGTAGTCTGCATCTACCAACATGGCTCAGACTAGAAGTTAGTGACTTCAAGCACTGATACCACGTTTTGGTTTGGCCGCCCCTAACTTTCTTCCAACCATCTCCAATACCGGATAGCATTGGACGTCGTGGTAATCGGTATTCAGGCATACGTAACACGTGGCCCAACCATCTCAGTCGATGAAGGTTCATTACCTCATCAACTGATTTACCATCATTTCCTAATACCCTGCGTCTAACCTCACTATTACTTACCCGGTGATCCCAGCAGACGCCAGCAATATTTCTAAGGCATCTGTGGTCGAATACTAGTAGCTTGCGAGTGTCTTCTACTCTTAAAGGCCATGTTTCGCTGCCGTAAAGTAAAACAGAACGGATTGCCGCGCAGTATACTCGCGAGCGTGTAATATTACAAGACTTCACACAAATGGTATGGCTCGAATCCGAGTAGATAAAACTCCCGATAAATAAGTTTAATTCAGTGTATGCATCAGTATATAATTACCGGACGTTAAGTTTAAATACATTTCCTCCTGATTGCTGAAATTGCGTGATATGTCACTGAATTTTATCAACCAGTAATATTCATTTCTTTGATAGTTTAGCAATGTCTTTCAAACTTAAAGAAATGTAGTGTATTATTTTCAAATGATGCAAATAAAAATGACTTGGTGGATAAGATTTCTACTGTAATGCTGCTTGCCAACACCTCACTAGTATTGACCCAGCCTTTATCGCTCCCTGCTTAAAAAGCAAATACTTTCTTCAGTCTTCAGTAATAAGGATAGGAGGTCTATCGACCTATATTAATCCTTGCAGTTTGTAATACTGTGGAGGTCCAACCTCGTTTTGAATATATTAACAGACGGTGCTGATATTACGTGTTCCGGTAGAAAATTCACTACTCAGTGCGAGAAACGGAACTCCAGACGTAAACGGTTTGATCTCGGTTTTTGAACTTTCTTCGAATGTCCTCTCAAATGATCGGTTCTAGACGGAAGCAAAAGATAAGACATTTTAATATCAAGGTCATCGTTCAGTATACGATAGGCCAATATTAGATCACCCCGTATTCTACGGTAAGATAACGGAAATAAGTTAAGGTGTCTCAGTCTGTCTTCATAAGATAGGCCAGATAGACCTTGTACCATCTTAGTAGCTCGTCGTTGGACTCTTTCTAGCATATCTGCTTCATACTTGAAACAAGGACACGCTGCTTGAATCCCGTATTCTAAATGTGGTCGCACATAAATCGGGTATAGTAATCTAAACATTTCATCATCTAAATACTGGAAAGACCTACGAATGACCATAATACCCTATAGCCTTTTGCAGCAGCAGCCTTACAGTGACTATTCGTTTTGAGATCATTGCTTAATATGACTACTAAATCTTTATAGTTTCTTGCTTTGGGTAGCACAAATCCACGTAGTGTATAGTCATACGATTCATCAGAGTTATTTAACTGCATCACTACACTCTTATTAGGATTTACTTCTAGTGACCACCTGTCTAACCATGCCACCAATGAGCTAAGATTGTCCTGTAATACTATTCTATCCGACATACTATGTATGGGTCTCCAAATCTTTATGTCATCAGTGAAGAGTAGAACGGATGATTTTGCTACAGTTGGCAATTCATTTACATAAAGTAAAAAGAGAAGAGGACCTAGGATTGTACCTTGGGGAACCCCACTTTTTACAGGTACCCACGAGGAGAGAGCCCCATTAACCCTTACCCTTTGTCTCCTGTCATGGAGAAAGTTACTTATCCAATCGACGACTGTATAATGGATTCCAAAACGTTCCAGTTTGAATTTAAGACCAGAGTGGGAAACCTTATCAAAGGCTGTACGTAGATCTATGAAAATTGCATCCACAGGGGGCATTCCGATCCTTTGCAGCAGCCCGATCTTCTCGTGCAATGACAAGATTTGTCAAGCAAGATAGGCCTTTCCGAAAACCATGTTGTGCCCTGGAGAAAAGATTTTGCCCTTCAACATAGTTTATAACAGCTATCCGAATGATTTTCTCCATCAGTTTTACAACTGCACTAGTTAAGCTAACGGGTCTATAGTTACTAACTAAATCCTTACTCCCAGCCTTATACACCGGACTTATTATAGCATCTTTCCAGTCTCTAGGAAGTCTGGACTGTCTCAGAGACATGTCGAATAGTATCGCTAATGGTTCAGCAATTTCATCTGATATGGCTTTCATAATCCTAGGATGAATATCATCACGACCACTGGACTTATCAGGTTTGAGATGCTGAAGTAGCCTTAAAACAGTATCTTTCTCAATGACTACAGGATCCATCAGCGAGCCGTCACAGTGGCGATGAATCGTTGGTCGTTCCTCATTACCGATAGAAAACACTACTAAAATATTCCGATATACGTGTCCCTTAATTGATAGATGAATATCCCGCCTTCGCCATAGGTGACGTAAGTTGGCAAAAGCCAACCGAGCTTTTCGAATTTGTGCTGAGATTTCGTCAGACACCAACCCATCAGAGCTGATCAAACTTCCAAGATAAGTGAAGATGTCAACATGTTCGACTACTTCACTCCCTATCCTTAGTTAAGGTGTTGACGCAGACCAGTCCTGAAGCAACAACTTGCATTTAGAGGGGGAGAAACACATCCCAGACATTCTGGTATTGTTGCTCAGTGCTACCAAAAGACTGCATTTTATCAGCATCCTCACCAATCAGGACTATATTATCTGCGTATTCTAAGTCGATAAGTAGACCTCCTGGAAGGTTGTGGTGGTCGGTATTCCATATAATTCTTAAACTTCGTATACAGTACGTCTTGATAACCTTCACTAGATAACACCACAACGGTATAATAATCAGAAGGCGAATACGAAGTGTTGATTATGTTTATTATGGGACCACACACACAGATATCCAAAATTACAGGTGCGTTAAATAAGCATGAAAGAGTTGTGCCGAAAGGCAAGCGAGTGAGTCAGCGAATATGAGTACGAGTAAGTGAATACACTTAAGCAAGAGAGAGCAATGAACATGAATAACATGGACATATATATACATAGTGAAATGAATGAATCAATTAAGTGGTTAGTAGTAAGCCTAGCAGCAACCATACATGTTCATATATTCGCAAAAATAATAAAGATACAATGATATAGATAAGTTGTTGTTGTACGGATGACTCTCCGAGTGGTTGAAATTAGTCAGAGCTGTATCCTGGTTTAGAAGGTTCATCGAGTTCCTGATGGTACTTCGTTTACCGAGTTGTGAAGGATCCGTTCATCTAGGATGTTTAAAGGTCAAAGAGCTTGAGATTGCCAAGCGTAAGATTTTATTGATGGTTCAGAGAGAAGTGTATGGAGAATTACTTGGTGAATTTAAGAACAGCAGTGAAGTAGTAAGCCAGGATGATCTGAAAGGTTTATCGTTGATGATGCTTGATGGGTTACTCTGCGTTGGAGGTCGACTAAGATACTCAGATTTCCCAAATGCTTTTAAACATCCAGTAATTTTACCCAGTCGACACTTAGTGACGGAAATGATAGTTAGACATTGTAATAAAGAAAAAGGACACATAGGAAGATCATTAGAAAAAGGGTATGGATATGTGTTTACTTGTCTGCAAACATGGGCAGTACATATTGAAATGATGTGTAATTTGATTACTGATTCATTTTTAATGGCTCTGTTACGTTTTATTGGAAGAAAAAGGAAACCTCCAGAGATTTACAGTGACAGTGCATCAAGCTTCGTGGTGACAGTTTCTGAGTTAAGCAAGTTTGTGCAGCAGTCGAATCAGAAGATAAACATTGAATTGTCAGTGAGGCCCTCATCCAACAGC